ATGCCACTTCATTGAAATAATTCTTTAGAACGGTAATCTCGTACATAATGACAAATGAATATTTTACATAATGCGGTGAATTAATAAAAAAATATCAGTCCCTTTATTCAATGATTTCCGTTTAGAATATTAATGTGCAGTTATTGTTTATAATTCGTTACACAAGACATCTCGTACTATAATAAAATTCTATTATGACATCGCCGAACGCCAATGATCAGCCATTTTGAATTAACAGATTACGAACTTTTAGCAAAATGACAATGGAATCGTGTAGGAATGAAAACACTTGGGCCCCTGAACATAGGACTTCCTTAGATATGATTCCGGAAAAGTACTATCTACCTACTACTAGGTACTTAACAACTTCATATTTTAGTATCTTTTATACTTATTGACTATAGTTAAAACAGTCTAATTAAAATCAGTTCAATATTTTCCATACGTTTCCATCGTTTGGATATTTCTGAGTTTACGACCTGCAAACCTTAGGAAATCGCGTACTCCTTCTTAAAAGGCCAGCCTGTGACTCCTCGGGTGTCAATGGGCGGCGAAGATCGCTTACCATCAGGTGATCCGTTTGCTCGTTTGTCTCCCATTCCATAAAAAAAATATCGTTATGAAAATTCGTGTGGCGTAAATGCTATTTAAGGTGGTCCTGCCTCCAGTAGCTTCCTGCAACCTCATTAGGTTATCCACTTTGCACGAGCTAAAAATCTAAATTTTTTACCTAATCCACATACAGGATTTATTTATTTATTTGGTTTCGACACTCGAGAATGTCTTTTAAGAATGAAATGACTTTGTTTATAGTAAAGCAGAGAATATTGTTACGTGAATAACAGAGTAAATAGATAATGGAGACTCAATGCTTATTAAGACGATACCAGTTTCTGGATCATCTTCATCAACACATCATCAGCCTATACGTGCCTACTGCTGCTAAGCAAAGGCCTCTTCTCACACGGAGAAGGTTTGAGCATTAATCACACGCTTGCTTAAGTGGATTGACGATTTAAACTTGTTTAGGAATTATAAGTCCAGGTTTCCTCACAATGTTTTCCTTCGCCATATGTCAGTAGTGTCTTAATGAACTTAGCAAGTACATATAACTCGGAAATAAAATAATATTGGTACTTGCCAGATTTGGAACCCCGCCGTTGGGTCTCATATATGAAAAGCGGGCGCCTTAACCTCCGAGCCACAGAGAGAAAGATTATAACCGAATTCAATTTTAAAAATTGTATTTTATTGTGTATTGTTTAGAATTTAATATAATAAAATTCGATTACTGGTTTAATGAATTGTAGGTACCTATGCAACAGACAAGATATTTGATTCGTCACAATTAAATGCGTTTTAATGGTTGAGAATTTTTCGAAAAGAGATAGGAAAAGCGATTTTTTTTCCAGCGATCCAGCGAGAAGGAGTGACAAATTCTTAGAATAACCCCGTTATTTCTGCTTCTTCGGAACCAGCCTTAGTAACTACATCATTTCGGTGACAAATTTGTGGCTGTTTTTTACTTCGTAATGGACGGGCATTTAGCCGCTTTCACGCCTGATGGTAAGCGATGGTATGGCCTACGACTACGATGGAGCAGGCCTATTCATAAGCAACCTATGCACTCGGGCCTCCAAGGTACTCAGGTTATAGTCTTCGGCGATCACAGACTCCGGCAATGAATGCCACTCCAAATTCAAATTCAAATTGAATTTGAATTTGGAGTGGCATTGAAGGACTACGATGGAGCAGGCCTATCCATAAGCAACCCATGCACACAGGCCTCCAAGGTACTCAGGTTATAGTCTTCGGCGATCACAGACTCCGGCAATGAATACCACTCCAAATTCAAATTCAAATTGAATTTGAATTTGGAGTGGCATTGAAGGACTACGATGGAGCAGGCCTATCCATAAGCAACCCATGCACACAGGCCTCGAAGGTACTCAGGTTATAGTCTTCGGCGATCACAGACTCCGGCAATGAATGCCACTCCAAATTCAAATTGAATTTGAATTTGGAGTGGCATTGAAGGACTACGATGGGGCAGGCCTATCCATAAGCAACCCATGCACACAGGCCTCGAAGGTACTCAGGTTATAGTCTTCGGCGATCACAGACTCCGGCAATGAATGCCACTCCTTGGCCGTTCTGATAATAAAACTTCGCACCTGTAAGTGGGATATTCAACATGAAGCGATGAAGTTTTGCCAATTGTCTGGCTGAACGATGGTGGAAAATAATAGGGGAAAGCAAAGCGTATAGCTCCTCCAAACATTACAAAAATACATCCAATAATGATATCCTGTTGATCTCTCCTGTTTGTAGTCGTAAAACTTCAATTTAGAATAAACCATCATTTCATTCATTAAGCACGTTACGGAAATACAGTATGTATTTGTGTAATTGAATGTAATGTAATTTTAACTTATTAATTTTCCTTTTCGATTATTAAATACTAGGTACATTGGTTGAAAAGAAAGCCAGTTGTTGCCTATTATAAATAAGATTCAAGTTACAGTTTTATAAAATAGGTAATTAATTACAGAACGACAACTACATCGTTTCTGCGGAAATCAACAGGATAAAGGAGGTGAAAAGAATCATTAAACTATAATATTTAGCTATATATAGCTATTGGGCTAAGTAAATACGAACCCCTTGCCCGTCTTTTTTCTTCTATACCAATATTATACAGACGTTAAATTTGCAAGTTTGTATGTAGGGGGTATCTTTGGAACCGCTAGTTTCGCGGATTTCCAAAATTCTTAAGATAAACAGCTACTGTTATACGCTATAAATTATATTTGATTCGCGTATTTTAGTCGAGCTATCGCTTTAAACGCTGCTGTTTTTTAAATTCCGGCACTATAACTACTTTATATATACACTACTTTTATACACGTGCGAACTATTTTATCAACATTTGTAAACAGACCAACTGCAAGGCAAAGGCCTCATCTTCCATGGAAAAAGAACAAAAATTGATCACCATGCTTGTTCTCAGCCATTGGCGAAATCAGACTCATAATTCAATGATAAGTCCAGATTGCCTTAATATTAATATGTTTTCCTTCACCATATATCAGTAGTTTCCAATGGTACCTAAGCAAATTTCTTCGAAAAGCCACATTTGAAGGTAGGTAGGTAGGTACTTACACGATTTGAACGAGTGCCCTCAAGTTTGAGAAGCGACTTAACCTCTCAATCGCCACATACAATCAATATAATTAATGTTTTTATTATTTTTTTTAAGACGATAAAGCTTCACGTCATCTGCCATTACGTCAATAATAGATGTTCGGACCTACATGGTCAACATCTACGTCATTTTTTAAATCATCATCAATACCATCTTTAACATCTATCGCGGCAGTTGTCATTAATGATAAAATAAAAATTTAATATTACAGTCTAATCTTTTATTTTAAGCACTTTTGAAATTCAAAAAATATTTTAAGAAAATATTTTGTCTACCAGTCTGTCACCTACAAATATTTTTTTTTTATTTTTCTTTACCAGGTTGGCACCTAAAAGTAGATTTACCTAATCTATGGAGAATTACAGCACGAATCATAGTGGTTATTCTTTTTTGAAACAGTTTTTTTTTTGTTTACATTATTAATTACGTTCTTGTTCGAGAACCATAAACTACCAAAGAGCGAGAAAAGGACAAAAATCCTTAAGTCTCTGTCACCCAATTACTCATGGCGCTGGTAGTATCTACTACAAATGCATACATACCTACACATTGTAGGTATCAAAATAGTTGTTTCTGCGCGTTTGTCACGACTCAATCCTAAATTAGGTCAAAATTTTACCGCCAGAGGAATTTTATTTTTATGATGACGTCATAATTTTTTTATGATCTCTAAAGTTGCGAAGTTTTTTTTTTAGATGATGTCCGTCCTTAATAAGTAGGTACCTACTTAAAAGGTTTCTCTATAAATAAATCATGGAATTTTATCGTAAAAAAGATTAGGTAGGTAAGTACCTACAAGGAAATTTTAAGCCGGAATCTACAAAAAAAACTATGTAAGTAAGTAGGTATGTAGTTATACAAATAAGTACAACAGTAATTTGTAAGTACAGATAGGCACTGAATATTCAATTCAACGCAATTGTGCATTGCATTCCTACAAACGAAATAGTTACCTAACGTGGAATAAATATGTGCCTACATAATACATAGTTTTGAAACTATAAAACTGTTTATACGCAAGCAAATGCTAAAAAAGTAATAAGTAACTGCCCTACTTCAGTGCGGCCCTCATGACGTTCAAAAATATAAAAATGAATTTTTAGATTATTGATTCCCTCAGCCGCGAGTCACCGGCTATACAATTTTTTTATATAAGTGTAATACAAAACACACACTCACACCAACACAATTTTCATCTACGCGATAACTACACATACGGGAAGTCACACACACAAACACAGTTTTACATAGAAAAACAGCCGTTCTCCTCTCTAGCCTATCTATACGTGCTATAGAAAAAAAACTTCAAAATAGTACGGCTTCACTCACTTTCACATTATATTACACCAATTTCAAACTATAATGTATGAACATCGGTCGCCATAAAGATTACTTTTGTTTGTATCAATATTATATTCCGTCTCTTTTACTCAACCGAACGCTTTCGAGTTTTCCCGTTCATGATCCATCCAACTCAAAATACGCCAAAAATGACGTCGAGCCAATGTTGTTTCGAAAACAGTGTCTCGCGTTTCTTTCTACGGATACCGCGCGCCCGCTCGCCGTTTATTATTTGGAATTTTCCAATCCACTGATTACTAGTCGTCGTAAGTTTTACAAACAAATTCGAGTCTGATTCGTATTTTTCGCGATTAGCGGCAATGTAGGAAAGTCGTAAGTGGCGATGGCAGTAAGGTCGGTTTTCGCGCGCACGCAGCGCCTACCCGGCTAAATTAAAACTACCTGCTAAGAGCCCTTCGCCGCTCGGAACGAACTCGCTGTTAAAATAGACCGTACAATACATAGAAAATTCTGACAGCTCGGGACCGTCACAAGAAAATAATGTCGTTTTTATTACATTTTTTGATAAATTATTATTCTAGTTTCGGTTCGGCGGCGTTCCAACGGCCTTATCGATTTTCCTATTTAGCGCGCTATCGTATTTTATACATTTTCGAAAGGTCCGCGGCGCGTCTATGCGCTTTCGAAAAATATTTTACAAGTATTTTCTCGGCGGCGAACGGACGTCGAGTGCGGTGCCGTAAATTGGTAATAATTCCGTTGATTACACAGTAATATAGTGTCCGAATATGGGTTAGTGATGATGAATACGGACACGACGAGCGTTGACTTCTGTGATACAATCCTATGAAAAATGTTTGTGTTTGTGCAAGTTTTTAGTGCATAGTTGGTTGATAGTTTGTGTCTGGTGCATTCCGATTGTGAAAGTGCACGGCTTGTGTTATTGTGCGTCGGATGCTGCAGCTGTGGCCATAGACCTGGCTGCACTTTGCTCGCCTGATCGGTCTCTCGTAAGTACAAGGAACCTTTCTAGAACGGCCTCGTAGGGCTTAGATACCGTTTGAAATACACTAGCAACGAAAACTAATCTCAGTTGACCTTGTTACTGGCAGGAATTCCTGTTAAATTAACTAATTTAACTTTAATCTCAAACATAACCTTAGCACTGAAGCCATAGCTGTAAACAAAACCATAAAACAAGTGAATGTTTTCTATAAAAAAGTATAATTTCAAATACTTAAAGAATAAAATTCATATATCCAGCCAGCCAGTTTTATAGCTTCACTAAAAAGTTTTAATATAAATTCTATACAAAATTAAGAATAAATAAATAATAACTGTACATGTATCTTCATTTAGTCTAGACTTTAATTTAATAATAGTTATTATTTATAAAGGTCAAAAGGAAATTTAAATGCCACTAGAAAAAAACCTTTGATACTTTAATATTAATTTTTAAAAATAAAAGTGTTACATTCACACAAAAAATAATAAATAAAACAACGTACCTACATTTAGTTTTTAAATAGATCTGACATTCTTCCTATTTAACTTAATCAATTATTTATCAGCATACTTCAATAATTATGGAGGAACATTAATTAACAATTATTTAATTATAAGTCAATAATTATCTTAGTAAATAATATTTATGGAGTTAGCTACTTAATGTTATTTATTCATAAAGTTATTTTAATAGAAAAATATTAGGTAAAACATCTTAGAAAATTATGTAAAGAGTATTTACCACAAAAATTAATATTATCTTAAAATTATATGAACAATTTATTTAACATTTAATATCTTTTGATGGTTTTACTAGTGAAATAGAATTTAAGTAAAGCATATCATTGATATAATATAAGAGTCAATTTAAAAATATAAATTAAAAAAAAAACAGCTGTCATTTTATTTATTCTTTATTCAAAAAAATACAAAATGGATGAAATCCACAAAAAAACGTAGGTATATGTAAAATTACCTTTTTACAAGTTTTTAATACAGCTAATAGGATTAAGTACAAATTTTGTACTTTAAATTCTATATGATGTATGATTTTTAAAAGATGCCTTGCATAAGTTCATCTTGAATGTATGAATAATTGCCTAAATGCTTATGTAAAATAAATATAATGTAAGTAAATGCTTATTTCTCTTATATCACAGTTTAGCAATTTGGAACTTGACATTTATGTTATATTGTTAAAAAAGTTAATAATTTCTGAATTTTATTTTGCTTTTCTAGTATTTTTAAGTTACAGTTTCAAGTTAGTTACTGAAATAATAATCAAATATATTTTGAGTAGACACCTCATTCAACTAAGATGCCATCTAATATCTCAGCTCAGCAAATCATAGACATCTAACACCAAAGAGGTTTGTAATAACTCCGGAATCCTGAATTCCGGAGTTCAACATAGGTGATATTTATATTCACTCCTATTGTTTCCTACCTAATTAAGTCTTCTTATTAGCCTTTAGTAATCAATAATATGGGTGTATAGTTTATTTCACATAAGAAGAGACAGTGCATCTTTCAAAATGGCTGTAAAATTTCATAATTATTCCGGAATAGGTGTTACCTAATAATAAAATGTAAGAAACAACATTGGCTTATAAAACAGCTAAGGTGTAATAATGTTCTATTATAATAAACAGATTTTTTAATGGATGGAATACAATTTAGATTACAGAAGCATGCAAAAAAAAGTTTTAATGCTATAACTACAGAACTCTCAAGGTTTTAATATACCTATTTTTTTAAATCAGATATTTCAAAGAGCTTTCTGGAACTGAAATATATTTACTGTAACCATAACATCTGTTCTTTCATTGAAAATACAAAAATGATACTGACAACAGTGATAAATGATTTTGAGAATAATTTTTTGGGCCTTTTTTTTGTTATTGTTAGCAATTGAATATTTTGGTCCTTCTTCTCATAGATCTTGATCATAAATTATAGAAAATGAATTTCAAATGACAATTGACAGTGTGTGTCTATGATTTGAAGGACGAATATTATTTTTGTTGAAAAATGTCTCATATACCTACATAAAAAATTGTCATCCCAGTTAGGTATGATCAAATTTTAATAGATCTGTACCTAATACTTTTAAAGGTCATTACTTAGTTAAAGGTCGATAAATCTTCTTTATTAAGGTCAAGAAATAATATTCCGTAATAATAAGTTGTTATTACATCAAGTAGGTATCATAGGATTGTATTTATAGGTAGGTATATTGCAATGTATGCATCTACGAATTTACTTATAAACCTACGCTTAGCGACAACGTTGCGTAAAGAAAATGATTATCAAGTAAAAAAAAACCGAAAAAGAGGTCTTGTGCGTAATATTTGCGATTTCCACGTGTAAGTACTTAATTAATTAAAGATCAGGTTATGAGAAATAAAAATAGATATTACACAAGTACAATAGGTGTTAATGTAAGTTTGTTATACGATAATATTTTATTTACGCACCATTTTTATCTGTTTGCTAAGCTTGTCAATGGTGGCCATTATTATTTACCGAACTCTACCCATAGACACTAGATTGATTTAAATTTTGAACTAAATTTCTAACTTGAAAATTTCGGAAAAAATGTCAATTTTATTTTTACATTTGTCAAAAAAGTAAGTATTTATTCTGTACGAGATCGCGGGATCGCTGACATACTTTTTTATTCTGACTATAACAGTTAGTGTTCTTATTTTGAAATATTTAGCCAGAGGCAGAAAAAATATAAAAAAAAATATAGCTTTAGGTTTACTTTGGTACGTCAAACATATAAAATTAATTGATTAAAAACATGGGCATCACTTATGGCAGAAACTAATTCTAAGTAGATCTCGAACCAAAATGTCCGAAACAAAAATCAATCGACATCAATCCAAAAATATTTGAAATGAAATCGTAAGTTCATTTCGATAATTAGTTCGTACTTAGTAGTAGTTAATTAAGATTGATTAGATTATTAAGGGCTGATTTTTCAATGGTTAGATAAAAGTTATCTGGGCAATAATGATGATGCTGTCGCGTCACAATGTTTGTATAAGACAGGGACAGCAACAATTTTATTCCTCAGATAACATTTAAGCATTTGACTATTGTAAAATCAGCCTTAAATATATGTATTACAAGAAGATATTTGGTTAATACAAATGTCCGAAATAATTATTATATTACAAGTACAAGGTAAAAATTCGGGGTTGCCAGGGCAAGCGGCAATAACGTTCCACAACCCTGGCTGGGAGAAAAAGGAACGGGGTGGTTTTTAGTCAGCAAGAGTCTGACTCTCCCTTTCACCCTACAAAGGTCGTGTAGCGACATCTATCGCACAAGATTCTACATCGCGGTATAAGAGTTCTCAACGCAATTAGAACCGATACAAAAATCCCGACAACAACCGTCGGGCACTAGCCCGTCAAGCACGAACACCACGCGTGGTCGGAGGATCCTCCCTTTTGAATGGAGGATAAGGAAGTTTACACCCTGTTCTCTCATACCTCTAAAGGTGTCTTTCATTTCCTTTGAAAGTGATTTGTTCTTCGATGAGGTTTTCAATTTTGTTGCGTTACGGGGAAGATCGCCTTTACTATTTAGATATCCCAGCTTCGACCGGAGAGCAGGAGAAGGAACAGGGTGGTTTTTAGTCAGTAAGAGTCTGTCACTCTCGCCTAACCCTGGGCGGGAGGAGTTATTTGGTAATCATCCTTATCCTTAGTAGTAAATACTTCGATCCAAAGTCAAAATCATTTGTTTTATCATCGACTAGCGAGCCGCCCCAGCTTTACACGGGTACAATGCTATTACTAAAATTCTCCACCATTTAATAGACGATATTATACATATAAAACTTCATCTTCAAAACCTCTGTCTTTGAAAAAAAAACGCATCAGAATCCGTTGCATAGTTTTAAAGATTTAAGCATACATAGGGATATAGGGACAGAGAAAGCGACTTTGTTTTATATGTGACTAGCTACTCTCGCGCTGTTTTACCCGCTGCTCAGCTCCATTTGATCGAAGCATGATGCTTTATAGCCTATAGCACTAAGGAACATAGCTACCAGTGAAAAAAATTTTAGGAAATCCGACCACCGACCGGTTCCAAATATTTCCCCCTACATACAAACTTACTTTAGGTACCTCTTTATAATATTAGTATAGATGATCCCTAACAGTTAAATACTTCGGTCCAAAGTCGAAACTATTTGTTTAAATTATGTAACAATAAGGAAAATAAGCAATATTATTAAATGTGTACTGTTACGATAAAATTGTTAAGACGACGCAGATATAAACTTTGTGGGACATCCTCGCCACAACCTCCCAAAAGTGACCAAACTTCTGTACACGATGATCTACGGTAGATAGAACAATGAAAACGTCGAAATGCTGAAGACTAACGCGTTCTTGATACGTGAATGAAGTGTTTTGGAACCCTCAATGAAATAAATTAGCAAAAGGAAATTCTTTTATCACATTATTAAATACACATCGCCAATATTGTTTGATAGGCGTGGTGGCCCGAGCGTTAAGGCGTCCGCTTTCTATGCATGCAGGTCCGAAATCTGGCAAGTACCAATGTGACTTGTTCCGAGTTATATGTGCTTTCTATGATTATTTAGACACCACTGACATACGGTGAAGGTAAACATTGTTAGGATACCTGGATTTATCGCATAATATACGTCTTGAGCAAGCGTGGTGATTTAAGCTCAAACCTTCTTAGCATGAGAAGAGACCTTTGCTAACTACTTCTTGCCTGATTATGTGTTTTTTTTTTAAATTAAAATAACATCTGCCTAAATGCAAAGCAATTTGCCGAAAGCTTTGTAATTCCTTTACGACTAAAATTCAATTCAATCATACAGCTAGTCATTCAGGCCGTTGATTGAATGACTAATTAATCTAGTTGCTAGCGACATCACTAGCTACTACACATTATAAAACAAAGTCGCTTTCTCTGTCCCTATATCTCTGTATGTATGCTTAAACCTCTAAAA